GAAATAAATATTGGGATGTGCCTAAATGGTTATCCTTCTCTTCTCCATGCAACAACACCCAATTATTCAGGTCCTTTAGAACAAACACTGGGGGAAACTAAGTAAGTTAGAGAGGTGACAGGGAGATAAAAAAAAAATTGTTCCTGAGATAAAAGCTTTCCCTTCAGGGGATAAAGAATTTTATTCAAGGGTACCAGTTGAATACAGCTCAGCGTGGCTTATTATTTTAAAGAAACATACAAGCTCTTTTTCATCTTTTAAATACCAAGTGGAAAATATCTCTCTCTATCCCTATCTTTCTACTTATCTCTCCTCTACAGCCTCCTTTTACAGCAAAACACACCAATGCAAAGCTAACAATCACTTGCTCTCCCCGGACAAATATTTACCTACAGATATTTGATCCCATCAACTGTTACTGTTTTTTTTTTAAAAAAAATGACATGCAATTTCTCTCCAAAAAGTAAAAACTGATAATCCTTTGAAGGAAACAAATAGTGTCTGGGGAAAAAATAGAATGCTCTAAATCGATCTATGTTGTTAAATGATTGAGCACATCCATGACCTTCTTTAAATGTCAGGAATAGACGTATTTATGGATGGTCGAACCTCAGGGTCAGATGTTAATTTTGGAGGAAGCTGTAGACTTTCTGCCCAAAATGAATCTTTCTTCAAATTAGCAGATTTGTTGTTAGTTGCGAAATCGTGTCCGACCCATTGCAACCCCATGGACAACGTTCTTCCAGGCCTTCCTGTCCTCTACCACCCCCCGGAGTCCATTTAAGCTCACCCCTACTGCTTCAGTGAATCCATCCAGCCACCTCATTAGCAGATTATATGTACTTAACAAATACGGATATTTGAAGTTCCAAATAGAAATTCTTATAAGCTACTGCATGTAAACAGGCAGCAAAACTCTACACCCGCTTGCATTGATGATGTTGCCTGGTTGGGTAATAAAATGTCTGCAAGCAAACAATCAAGCTTGGAGAGTACCAAGAACTGCATAGTTTACTCTAATAAAAAGTAACTATCAATGGACAATAGGAATTCAAGGGAGAATAATGTAGGACAATTGATAGAAGAGTCCAGTTGAAGAAAGAAAATGGGTCTTTTTAGAAGAATCCACTCTTTTTTTTCAATTAGTGTTCCATGAATGAATAAACAGCCCCATCTTCATACAAATAGAAAGACCAAGCAAATGACTGAATGGTTATCACACAGTAAATTTACGAATAAAGCACCTAACAAAATTTATCAAACCATTATAAGCCAGGAGTCCCAACAAATCAACTTAAACAGAAAAAAGAGGGTAATTTTAATATTTTTAATTAATACAAATCCAGACCATGGCTAATGAATGAAATGGCTACAAGGACTGAACATGTACAATGAGGGCACAGAACCCGAAAGACTTACAAGAGGAGCATTTGGGACTTAAGTAGAATTTCTAAAGTTTGATTGATTTCCCCAGCCACATAATTAATTTTCAAAACATAAAATGATAGTGTCCTACAAGAATTAGCGTTTAATAAAAATTGGCAACAAATATTAATTCATGATCAGTTAAGGATATCCAGAATATCATCATCTCAAAATGTAAAAATACAGAATTGCCATATATGGCCCTAGAAGAAGGAATATATTTTTCTAATGTAACCTTTAAATAAATAAAAGTGTAATGTAATATCCTGGATAATTAATATATAACTGAAAGAGAAAAATGAAATTTCTTTGTATCTTGCCTTTATTATTTTTAGAAATAACTTGAGGCAGCAAATGTATCCAACATACTTCTTCCTTCTATTTTCCTCACAATTAACGATTATGTGAGGTGGGTTGGGCTAAGAGATGGTGACTGGTCCAAACTCATCCAGCTGGATTTCATGGCTGTGTTGTGACTTGAACTCAGTCTCCTGCTTTCTAGCCTGGTGCCTTAATCATTAGACCAAACTGGCTGAGACTGTGTAGCAAACATTTCAGACCATTCTACGATTCTAAATTTATTTTTAAATTGTTTTAATTTGTTTATCAATATGCTTGATAAGCCAACTTGGCTACTTTGCAAATTAAAACAATTGAATGAAAAATTAAAAGTTCTGGAATGTTCTGAAATGTTTGCTACAGAATCTCTGTATAAGCACCTTCAATGACAGTTGTTCAAAAAAGAGATAGATAGATAGATAGATAGATAGATGGATGGATGGATGGATAATAGATGATAGATAGATAGATAGATAGATAGATAGATGGATGGATGGATGGATA